AGCGCGGCTGGGGTCTCGCCGCCCGCTCCGGCCGGGCCGCCACCGCGCTCACCGCCCTCTACCTGGCGTGGGCCGGACACCGCGCACAGCACCTTGGTGCCTCCCGCCTCCAGGTAGGCCGAGCCCTTGGCCTGGCTCAACAGCCCGGCGCGCGCGTACACAGGCCGGAGCCGCGTCGGGTCGCGAGCGGCCGGCACCTCGTCCTCGTCGGTCGCGTACAACTGCGGCGGCTGCGACTCCTCGGGCCCGCGGATGCGGCGGTTGTCCCCGGGCATGTCGGCATCTAGCGTGCGAGCCGCCTTCCCGCGTCGGCCCGGCCTCGCGCGCCGGCTCTTCCGCCCGCTCAAAGCCGCGCGCTCGCGCGAGGACTGTCGGGATAGCGGCAGGCCGCCCCGCACCGCCCCCTGCCGCCCCGGAGGGAGAACGGCGAGCGCTGCAGAGTCCTGGGGCCGCCGCAAGGACGCCCAGAGCTCGGTGGATGGATGGACGGACGTACCGGGCAGGCCTGCAGAAGTGGGACCTATGCCGGCTCGGCTGACGTCTAGCCTTTGCGCTCAGGGCGTAGGGCTTCTTGCTTTCACTTGTGAAGCTGTAATTATTTTAATTTTGCACTTATGTGTGTGACTGTTTTACCCATGTTCCCCACTGCCTTGCCCAAGAGGGCAGTGACCTTCTGTCTTGGTCACTCCTGTACTGTCAGTGCCCTGGCTGGCATAAACGCTTGTCGAGTGAATGAATGGAACTATGTCTCTCCTGCTCTGGATTGTGTGAGCTCTTTGTATCCCTAACACTCCTCACCTGGCATGCACATATTGCAGCCAAGGGCCTCAGCACCCTCCCTCTGCCTGCTTTTCATACTCCTCACCCCCAGGCCTTGTGACTGCTGGCCTCTGCTTCTCCTCTCAGCATAAACCTGCTTTTCCTCCTCCCTCAAAGTCAGCAGGCCTGAGAATGACCCAGGGCCCCAGAGCCAGCCTGCTGTACTCAGGGGACATGAAATCAGCCAGAGTGGGCACAACCAAGTACTGTACACTACTGCTACCAAACCCAATTGTCTTCAGACTTGGGTGAATGGACGCAGAACCAGGTCAGAGTCTCCACCCTCACTGTCCAAGTGAGGTCCTGGAACCAGGAATGACGTGGCAGTCAAAGGAGTGGGGGGAGGCAACTGATGTACCCTAAACACCTCCTATACCAAAGAATGCCTCTGACCTCACACCCAACCTGCACATCAAGTGAGGAAAAGGGATATGGGCCTAAAAAATGAAGATATTCTCCTACAAAGGGCTCTATTCTGTGGGCCACCTCCACAGATGTCGAGGAAAATCCAGCGGCCATTATTCCCGAACTTCAGGGGTCTGGGGCTATACTCGGCAAGGACTGCGACCAGAAGCCAGCTGGAGCCACAGCATTTATTCTACAGACACCCAGGGAGCCACGGGCTGTCACACTGGGGGCACCCGTGGGGTGGGGTTGGGGGAGAAAGGGGAGGAGGAGATAAGAAATCACACGGCATTATCGAGTATTGCACATGGTCCTTTTATTCTCTGCAGCAAAAACGATTCCTCCCTGTAGGCCCAGAGCCTTGGGTCTGCAGAGAACTCTACAGACACAATCCTGGGGTAGTGGTTCTAGACAGATGGCACTGAAATGCTCAGAGCAGAAGCATAACATGGGAATTGAGTCACAGGCTGGCTCCCAGGCTAAGTTCCAGTTACTGCTGGGTTAGGAGGACAGATGGGGCTGTTTAAAGGTCCCAAGATTAGAATATCCTTGTGGGGGATGGAGCGCTCCTGGCTGGACGGATCCATCTGGGAGCGAGGGAGATGCCTCCTCGTGGAAGCCGCCCTTCCCCCTCAGTTCTTCACATCTCCCAGGTGGAGCTGGGCAAAGGTGGCGGCCAGCTGCAGCGCCTCCTGCAGGCAGCCCACGTTCTTGCCTGTGGCCTGAGCGGACACATCTTTGCCACCACCTTTGCCATCCATCAGACCTGACACCTGTTGCACCCACTCACTGGCTTTCAGGCCCCGGTTGGCTGCATTCTAGAAGACAGGAAGGAGAAGTAGGGGTCAGGACAGAGGACGGGATTGAGGGAGACAAGGAGAGGGGTGGGATGGAAAAAGGATGGGGGAGGCTGACACCCAATCCTGCCCTGGGTGATGCTGCCAGAGCTAAGAGAGATCCTACAGTGGGTACGACAGCCAGGGCGAGGCATACCGAGTAGCAAAGCCAGCACGGTTAAACATATCCACCAGGGAGGGGAGAGCCTGAGTGGAAGGGGTGCTGGGGAGGTGACAAACAGGTGAGCAGGAAAACGGCCACGTCTAACGGGTTGCACAAACACACATGGGTCTTGGCAAACAGGTGTAAGAAGAACCAAGCTCCCTGAGAAAAGCTATGGCCACTGGCACAGAGCTGCTGTGAGCAAGACTGCAGGGCACTCTGACCTGGGGGACTTGACACAAGCATGTGATCTTGCCAGCCTCATTATCCACTGTGAAGAGCATGGCAGACGTCTCAGGGGAATGCGTCTTGAAGAGCTTCAAGGCTTCGTTCAGGGCCTGTGGGGAGAACCTGGCATCAGGCCATGGCCCTGGGGAAGGGGGCCACGCTCTCCACAAGTGCAATGGGGCTGCAGAGCTCAGTCCTCAGAGAGCTCCCACCCCTTACCCCCTTCTAAGAGCAGGTGCTGGTCCCAGGAGCCTGGATGGAGGACTAAGCACAGGGCCTCGCCCACGCTCTGGCTCGGAGCTTCGCCTTCCACCTCGAGGAGCCACAGCTCTCCAGCCACCAGCTCTCTCCATGGCTCAGCCCAACCTCAGTCCCAGAGAGTGGGCCATCAGGCAACTACTCTGCTCAGAGCCACAAGGCTCCCACTTCAGCCACCAGAAGGCTGAGACTCCGAGAGGAGGAGACAAGCAGCAGACAGGCACAGGGTGGTGCCATGGAGCCCCACCCCTGGCTTGCCTTGGCCGAGGCGCCGCTCTCCATCTCCAGGATGACAAGGGGCTGGTTGGGGCTGCTGTCAATGAGCTGCTTTGTCTTTTCCAGCACCTGCAAGGAAGGGAGTCCAGAGGAGAGGCCTCAGGTCAAAGGCTCAGACTCCGAAACCCAGAGAGCAGTCTGCACAGCCTTTGCTGGGTAAATCCTCCCGGCTCCTGCACTGCCAGGACTCACCCGCTTCTGGACATCGGCTTTGTTAGCCCGGTCTAGGTCATCCATGATTTTCTTCAGGGATTTGAGATTCTCCCGGAATTCATCCTTCTGCCACTGAGGGATGACTGCAGTGGCCAGAGCCTGGAACCAGAACAGGAACTCCACTGGGAGCTGGGCCACGAGGAGTGAGGATGTGAGCCCACCCCACCCTTCTGGCTTCTGACACCAGAGTTCCCCAACCAGTGTCCAGAAGGAGAGAGAACACAAGAACAAAAAGGAATCCACTGGCCTTGAGATGAGTCACTTTATGAGCAACTGCATGAGTTGTAAGGAGCAGGGCTGGAGAGAAAGGGACAGAATAAAGAGAGCTGGGACCCCCTGTTAGACCTGGTCCCCCCACGGCAGTGAACACGGCCCATGATGGGCTAACGGGAAGCCCCTGAATGTGAACAAACACCAGGAGACCCGGAGACAGTGGGCTCCCACCGCGCCTCTCCCACCCCCCTCAACACCGGTGCCCACTAGTGCTCAGAAGGGGCTGCCCTGCCGTCGGCAACGGGGGCAGCAGCTGGTTCCAGGGGTCCGGAGGCCAGGATCCGGGAAGCCCCCTTGGCAAGGTTGCCGGACATCAGAAGTCAGTCCAAAGGCCCACTGCACCGAGAACCAGGACCTGAGGAGGGAGGTCGCCCCTACCTCACCGAGGTCCGCGATCTCCCTCTGCACGTCCTTATTTGGTGCAGTCTGGGTCTTCACTTTGGCCTCCGCGACAGAGAGAGATTTCTTCAAGCTCTCCGCTTTCCTGAGCGCCTGGGAGGAGACAATCAGAGTTGTGAACTGTGGGTCAGGCAACTTTCAGCTTCACGACTCTGTGAACGGTGGCAGACACCGATGGCAGGCTATGGAACAACACACCCCCAGAACACCAGAACTTTCTCTTCCTTTAGGAGCAAGTGTTTGCAGCCTCATGCCCCGGAAAGGAGCACCCTCCTCATACACCTGGCCAGCGGAACTCAGGTTCAGGGGGTGACAGAGAACTCATGAGCCAGGAGCCCTTCCCACCTATGAAATCATCACTCCTCAAGCCTCGGCACACGTCAGGCGTGAGCTACAGTCCCCACTCCCAGAGCAACTGTCCCCGTACTCCATGCGTCTCAAACTGGGTACATACCCCAAGGGAGATGTGGTTAAGTGCTGGGGGCACAGAAGCCATAGCAAAACTACGGCCTACCCTCCTCGACACAGACATCTTATGGCAGAATCTACCTATATTTTAAAAGATTAAATGTAAGATAGCTAGAATGTTTCGTGCGGTGCTGGCTTTCTTCCACCAGGCGGGGTAACGGGAGGGCACTCTGGAGGGAGTGCTGTAGCTCCGATTCTGACCGCAGCGGCCACGTGACCATCGGCACTGTGGATCCACAGATTGGGCCCTGCTTGCCTTGTTCAAGTGAGCCACAAACCAGCCTGACCTGCTCACCTTCTGGGCTTCGGCACCTGTGACAGCAACAATCCTCCGGATGCCCTTGGCAATAGCTTCTTCACTCACAATCACAAAAGCTCCCGTGTGACTCGAATTCTGCAGATGCCTGAATGGCAGAAGGCAAAGTTCATGGTCCTCACAGCACCCAGGAGCCCTTGGCTGGCAGGCAGGAGCCCTAAGTGGTAGTCGCTCCCAGGGAAGCTCCCTCAAGGGGATGATGAGGAAAGGCCCTTCGTGTTTATTTCAGAACGCAGCTGTGGCCTGGAAGGGGCAGGCAGTCAGGGAAGGCCTGGCTGGGGCCGACACTGAGCGAGGCGCCACGCTCCTGCACCTCAGTTTTCCCACGCATGAAATGTGGGTAGGTCTCCTTCACCACACTGCTGCCTTCCGTCCCTGCTCAACAGCCTGAGAGTATCGGTGGATTCCCTCTCAAGTCTTACCACAGCACCTCAGACAACCCCAGGGGCTCAGAGAACCTCAAATGCTCATTTACTCTCAGCCACTCCGCAAGGATGATGTAAAGTCTCTGAAAGCTGTTTCCAGTGCTCTAGAGACTGTCATGTAGAGAGGTATTAAGGCAGATGTGGGACTCATTTGAAGGCCCAATTCTACTGGACAGAGGGAGGCCTGGAATGTGATCTCCCAGATCCCTACCCCATCCTCCATGCACCCAACTGCTCTCTGCCTGCCTGAGGCTCACAGGAGGCCCTGGATGGGCTCTATCATGGCCTTAAGAATGTTTTATTCCCCCTGATTTCTTGGCAGGCAGGAACTTCCCAGGCCACCAGACGGTCCCAGAAAGACCCCAAGGGCTATGGAGGACTCCAAGTTGGCAGAAACATGTGGCTGCCCACAGCCAAACTGAGCCGGGTCTACTGTGGGGCCTGACTCAGGGGCTCTGAGACAATGAGGTTAATTCCACAGATGCTGCTCAAGCCTGCAAAGGGAACTATATGAGGCCCTGGGAATGAAAAGGGGCTAGGACCAGATCAGAAGCTCCAGGGCCCTGCTGAATCATGAATTCCCAGGCCTTCTGTCATCATCCGTCCAGGGAACGAGAGCAAGCAGCTCTAAGTGTTAAGATGACATTTTTCACCTTCCCTCCTTGGAAGAACATTTCATCACACACCCAGTAAATGTCAACGTCAGACACTGAGGGGTCTGATGGGAGCATGCAGATGCTGATTCCTGGGAATGCTGTTTGGCAACTGCATTTCTGAGGACTCTGTTTCAACCTTAGACAAATGAGAGCTGGTCTAGCCTATTACCCACACCCTCCGAGGGTAACGCAAATTAACAAAAGGCAGGTCCACCCACTGCTCCCCGTGAGGTACTCACGTTCCCCCACAGAACTCAACAGAAGTGAGCGAGCCAGCAGGACCGGAGGGGTCATCCAACAGCTCAGACACCGGGACCCCAATAGAGACTACTCGCACAGGGTCAGGATAGGTCTCATCAAACACAGCCCGCAGGCCCTGGATGGCTTTAGCTGCTGCCAGAGGACAATCCTGGGTGTAGACGGGCTGCCATGGAAAGAAGATAGGAAAAAATGCTGGGAAAAGATCTTCTCTGAAGGTGCGGTAGGAAGCAGCAGGGAGAGTGCAGTCTTGCAGGCAGGGCTCTGGGTTTCTGATCTCAGCTCTGCCCATCATGTGCCCTGAGCCTCCCAAAATAAAGCCCCATGTGTAAAGTCAAGGGGCTCAAAATAGGAATTTCCAACTACTTTGTTAAACTGTGAACCAAATCTTAAATGGATGTGCTATATGTAAAGCAGATTTAACTAAAAGAGCTCTGGTTGTCCTAAGGAAGGGGTGGACCAAAGACCTCCCTGAGGCCCCCCACTGAACACCAGCACTGCCCCCTACCCAGCACAGTTAAGAATCACTGCTTTGAACACGTGTTCACAGGACAGACTATGGATCGACAGAGTGAGAGCATCTGGGCAGAGGCGGCTCCGTACATAGAAAGCAATGGTGCAGGAAGGAGTGGAGTACATGACCCAAGAGCTCACGTAACGCAACCTACCTTGGCTGCTTCAATCATCTCGTTTGCAATCTCCTCGGCCTTCTTGATCTGTTGGGTGGACATGGCTCCCTTGGCGGTGAAGTCAAACCGAAGGCGGTCAGGAGCAACCAGGGAGCCTCTCTGGTCAGCCTCCCCAAGCACGGAACGCAGGGCGAAGTTCAGGATGTGGGTGGCTGTGTGGTTGCTCATGACAGGCCTCCGTCGGGGCTATAAAGGGCAGAGCAGGCTGGTGGAGAGGTCTGCAGCGGACTGCTGGTCGGCCCCCAGTACCTGCTCTCCCTTTCTTCCCAAGTACTAGAGTTTTTAGCTGGACCCATGGCTGCCCAGAATAAAGCCTACAGCTTCCCTTGCCGCTAACTGTGGCCATGTAACTAAATTCTGGTCAGTGGGCTGTGAGCAGAAGTGATGTGTACACTTAAAGGAACATACCCTCCCTTTCCTCTTTCCCACTGTCTAGAACAGGAGTTGGGAAGTTATGGCCTGTGGGCCGAACCCGTCCTGCAATCCATTTTTATATCTAGGTTTATTGGAACATAGCCACACCCGTGTGTTTACGTATTGCCTACGGTGCTTTTGTGCCACAACGACAGAGTCAAGTAGCTGTGATGGAGACAGTACGGTTCAGAAAACCAAAAATATTTACTATCTGGCACTTCACAAAAAAAGTCCACCAACCCCTGGCCTAGAAAATGGATCTCACAGCTACCTTCTTGGACCATGAAAGCAAGGGCAACACCCCAGGAGTGATGGTGGAACAAAAGCAAGGAAGAGCAAGGTCCTGTGACTTTGTGGGGAGGGCCTCTGCATCAGCTCAGACTTTCAGGTGAGAAACACACTTCCGTCTTGTTTTATGCTACTATTATTTTGGAGCTCTGGCACGTGCAGCAGAACCTGTTTCTTAACACAGGATCCTTGGCTCCTGAAGAAGTATTTGAGGTTAAGCTGGAGAAAGGCAATCCGTGAAAATGAAGCTCTAGGATCTCAACTGAAATCACTGTGGTCTAACTTGGGAACAGATTTAGCTCTCAGTGACATCCCTCAAAATTTACTTCTGCGCCTTACACGCAATCAGCTACTTATAATTTCACTTAGGAGGGACAGTAACGATGGGCCAATTTAAAGCCAGAGGAGGAGATGAATTCCTTTCACAACCTGCATCAAATCACGATGACGTACACTTTTAAACAACCCTTGTAATTCTACATGCCAGGTAGGCCTCAATAAAGCTGACATTTTTTTTAAAAGGGGAAGGAGAGATGATTACTAACCAGCCTAAAGCAACTCAAACTCACCTCATCAATAAACAGCCGGACCTGATCCCCCACTTTCAGGCTGCCATAGATTGTTCCTATGTGCAGGACATACCCTCCTCGGACCTGAGCGTTCTTCACCGTAAACTCAGTTTTCTAAGAGGAGTCAAGGAGGAGACCAATACATACAAAAATCCAAATACATATGTGTGTATATATGTATATACATAAATATATATAAATGGACATAAATATGAATTCTCCCTTTATGTACTATACACACATACCATTAATACCATTATATATACATACATACATATATATATGGACCACCACATAAATATTTATCATTACAAACACACAACACTTTAAATATGTAATACATGTGTATATATACACAGACACAGACACACACACACTCTTCATTAAGGAGCATCTTAGAGAATTAAAGCCATTGTAGGAAGTTCAAGCCCGAGGCTTGACGGCAGAGACAGCAGTGGCTGAGCTACAGGCCACGTCTTCTACAAGGATGTCTGCCCTCCAGAGAGCTATCTCTCCTTATTTACAGGGAAAGCCTGGAGGAACCAGGGATCAACCTAAGCAGCCTGGCTGCAAGGATCCTGCTACAAGGGGACCTAACGGCGATGAAAGCAACACAGTACAAGAAGCAGCTCCCTCGGCTTCAGAAACACTGACCACAGAACACGACCCGAAGATCGGTGGTGCCTGCCCCTCAGGGCTGGGAGCCCCGAGGAGCCAGAGCAGCTGCCCGGGGCCCAGGCCCGGCCCTTTGCTGGGCCCCCGCTCCCCACTAATGAGGAAGAACTGTTGGCTCACGTCTTCGCTGCTGTCATCAACCTTCACCAGGTAGCCTTCGTCGTAGATCTGCCCTCCTTGCTCGGCATAGAAACAGGTCTTGTCCAGCACCACTCCACACTCCTGGCCCGTGGACACTTCCTCCACAAACATCTTGTCCCTGCGCAGAGCCATCACTGTAGCCACCGCACTCTCAAACACTGCATACAAGGGGAAAACACGGTTGATGACTTCATTCACACACTCTTAGCCGGCTTTTATCAGATTCTATTTCTCAAACTCTCCTTAGGTCCTAATTGTCTAATTTCATCTTGGAAGAAGCCTATTAGACTCCACAAAAGGGCTTAACATGCTGGTTTTCTAATGGAGAATATAATACTCAGTAGGGGTGACCAACTGTCCCAGTTTGCTTGGGACCAGGGGATTTCCCAAGGTGTGAGGAAACACTGGGACAATTTCAGTGTCAACACTGGGACAATTCTGGGAAAATGGGACAGATGGTCACCTTAACTGTGAGCTACTGAACAGAAACCTGATGAATTTGATTAGCAGGTATTTAAGAATAGTAATAACTATTACTATTATAATAACTACTCCAAGGTCAATTCATAAGGAGTGTATTCCTTTTGTGGGCTTCCTTACACAGATTTAGGTATCTCTGCTGGAGCAAAAAAAGCAAAAACATGTAGCACCAGTATATTTCTTTTGAGCTGTCTTAACTTTAGAATGCTACTATCCCCATGCAAAATTCAACAGCCACTGTGAATTTTATCAATCAATGTCATTTTCCTTGTTTCCTGCAAGATGTTGCAATTAGGGAAAACCAGGTATAAGGTACAAGGAATCTCCTGGTAAATTTCTTTTTTTTTAACAACTTCCTGTGAATCTATAATTATTCCAAAATAAATAGAAAGTCAATCACCAAGGGTCTCTCTGAGTATAAAATTACACAGCATGACTACACAGCACTGCAGGCAAGGCTACCATGGATATCCTGGGTTCCTAATCTTGAGACTCATTGCTTGAAAACCACCCGAGATGAGCACACTAACATACCGTAGCTCCCACTGGAGTCCGAATGGTAATTATACTTTGGGGAATCATCTGTTGCCTCCAGACCCTTTTCCCGGAGCTCTTCAATAGCATAAATGTCCAGCATAATGAGGTCTTCCCCACCAGCTCCCTTGCCCTGTGATTTTAGCTGCCAGTAAGAGAAATAAGCATAAGTTACCTTAATGTCAAAGAAAAAGAACTCTGAAGGACTTGAAATTGCTAAACTATGCCCAATGTAAAGCTCTAGAACAGAGTTTTTGGCTCTCAGCACTACTGACATTTGGGGCCAGGTAACTCTTGTTCTGGGAGGCTGTCCCCTGAAGGAGGTTGAGCAGCACTCCTGGCGTCTACCCACCACAGGCCAGTAGCATCCATCCCCAGCTGTGAAAACCAAAAACTACCTTTATACGCTACTGCCAAATATCCCCTGGGGTAAGGGAGGCAAACTGCCCCCACTTAAGACTCACTGGTCTTGGGAAAAACAGAATTTCAAAGACTTTAATGGAAGGAAACTCTTTCTTGCCTTGCAGCCAAGTCCTGCCTTGATTGGGGCTGAGTTTCTTGCTCACTCCTCAAATGCTTTACCTGAGCCAGCTTCCTCTCCTCTTCAAAGCCATCCATATCTACCACCAGGCCCTTCTCTTCAGCAATCAGTCCAGTAAGATCCACTGGAAACCCATAGGTGTCATAGAGGAGCCAAGCAGTGTCCCCTACACAGCACAAAGGAATCACATAAGAATGACAAGGATGGCCCCCCTTCCTTTCCATCCCAACCCCTTTCCAGGAGGACACTGGCAGTGACAGGAGGGATTAAAGAGTCAGGCAAGTTAGTAATGGTTCTGTGTATTTGTCAGAAAATCCATCAAATCTTTTGCAGTCAACCTGGGGGAAGCACAGGAGGTCCCTGGAAAAGTTCTGTTTCTTAATCTGAACACAAGTATGTTCAGTTTGTGGAAATTCATCAGGCTTTCACCTTGAACATTATATTATACTTCCATAAAAAGTAAAAACTTCTGGAATTAATTTTCCTGTCTGGTAAAAAATTAAAGTTGTAAAACACTATATACTACTCGTTCCCATTTTTTGCTTGCGCACGTGCACACACCCCTATGTACATTTGTATGCAAATATAGAAAAGTTCTGAATAGTTATACAACAAACCCCAAAGAGTTGTGACTTCTGAGAAATAAGTTTGGGAAAGAGGATTTTCACTTTTTACTTCTGTACTGTTAGAATACTTTGCCACAATAATATGTTACTTTTATAATCTTACTATAAACCCCATTTTACACCAAAAGCAGTCTAACCAAGCTATGCTCAGCCTTTGGAGACACAGGAGTCCACTGTCAGTTTGTGAGAAAGGGCTTGCCTCTTCCAGAAAGATGAACCAGCCTATTGAAGAAAGGAACAAACCGGTCCTTACCGGGAATGGTTTTGCTGTCTCCCAGGCTCTGAATTTTCCTGTCTAGGATGCGACGCCCTCTGCTGAGCGTCTTGAGAAACTGCACTTCTTCTTCATTAATGATGTCCTTCACCAAGTCTGGGTCCTTCTTTAGCTCAGGAAATGCATCTCCCTGGTAAACGGGAGACACAGATATGAGCCCAATGAAGGCAGGGCCTATACTATGACTCCTCTAAAAATTATCATTAACAGTGTGATATCTCCCACTCTACACCTTTTAAGGTATGTGCTTCAGTACAGAAGAGGTGAACAGGAAATACACCTACCAGGGACTGCACGACAACATCTGCTAATGTAGCAAAGAAACCCCTGCTGGCGTTGAGTTTCTCATGGGAGTATCGAACAGCCCGGCGGAGAATCCGTCTCAACACATACCTATAAGAGGCAGAACCCAGTTTCCGGATAGACAACATTCCCAGTCGAGCGTTTGGTAGTGGGTTCTTTGGAATTCTACCCAAGCAACATGACCAATTTTTTGTCTTTCTCTTTCAGATTCTTTCTTTTATCCTAAGCCTGCTTTTCCTTTTTCTTTTTCTTTTTTTTTGCATTCCCCCAAGGTCATTAACATTAATTCCAGTAAACTCAGTAATATATCCACAAAGATGCATCAAGGATAACCTAGGGTAACCTTGGTTTATTTTCCAAGCTTGTTCTGCTGAGCCAGAGATGAAGGCAAGAAGTACAGACCAGACAGCCAACTTGATGCCCACAATCCAATCCCAGGTCCTGGCTGTCAGTAATGAAGTTGCCTGGGGTTCACCAGTATCTCCCCTGCCCCTGCCAATATCTTATAAGACAACCCTAAATACAATCCTTATCATCTTGTATTTGGCAGCAGAAATTTAATATAGTGAACTCTTCAAAGTGAGCTGAAACTCCCTTTATCCCTAAAAAAAATAAAAGGATCCCTCCAACTACCTAGAAGACAAACAATAATGAAGTATGTGTTAAGTTCCACAGAGAGCCATAAAACTCAACAGCGTCAGTCCTAACCCTGCCCCAAGTGTAAATACACTTACCCCCGCCCTGTGTTGTCAGGTCGGCCACCATCAGCCAGGGCCACGGTGATGGTCCGAGCGTGGTCGGCCAGCACCCGGTAGGCCATGTCAATCCCATCAGCATCGTCAGCACCAACCTTCCCAGTGTACGGCCGAGCACCTGTGCCCTACAAATAAAAACCAGGAGGCAGCTTGTCAGGAAGCAGCCTTTCTAGTGTTGCCTCACCCTAGGAGGTTCAGACAGGACTGACGGGGCATAAAGCGAAAGGATGACCCTCTTGCCAGATCCTAAACCCCAAGAAAGGTAACAGGAGCAAGAGTGAAGAGCCTCCAGCTAGGCCCCTGCACACAATAAAATACAGTGCCTTGTGCTTAGACCCCTGTGTTATTAACAGGGAAGTTGGTAGATGGTCACAGGTACCCTCACCCGGCAAAGCATATGATTGTTTTATCTTTGACAGTACTAAGGGTCCAGCCTGGAAACCTCCACAGAAGTCTGCAATAGGACCAGTACCTTCTGAATGGCTTCAAAGTAAGGGACAAAAAGGTCAGTGTCATAGTTGGACATTTTATTCTGCAGCACAGACACTAGTCGCTCCAGGCCCATCCCTGTGTCAATGCTTTTCTTGGGAAGAGGTTTCAGAATGCCATCGGTTTCCCTGCAAGATCCAGAGAAAGAGGAGGATGAAACATGGACTCAGGCTGCCACCTCTCCCTGCTAGGTAGAAATCACTTTGCAGTTTGCAGGCTGTGACTATTTGCCATTTGTCTCTGCCTGTTTTGGTGGGAGGTGGGGAGTGAAGGGAGAAAGGGAAGAAATACTCTGGGGTTCATTAAAGAGTGAGGCAAGCTTCAAGGAAATGAGCTTTAAAACAGCAGTTCAAATTATAGCAAAAATGACATTATAGGAATAGCCCTTAAGCAGGTAGTATGTGGAATAAAACTAGTTTATAAAAGAATAGGCCCAGCCCTGTCCCAGAGATCAGAGGGAAAACCTGAGAAATAAAATTGAACAAATGTCCACAAGATCCCATGATGCCTTTAGCACTGCCCCACTGTCCCCAAAGACGAGGATGAGAAGACAGCCATGAGCTCTGAGCTCCTCTCGCTCTACGCAGCTTGAGGAAACGTGCTGCTCTTAGCAGGAACAGATCGGGACCCCAAGGCCACCTGTTATACTGGATGAACACGAGGTTCCAGATCTCTAGCACATTGGGGTCATCCTGGTTGACGAGGTGCGCCGCATCCCGACCACCAATCCGGTCATAGTGGATCTCACTGCAGGGACCACAAGGGCCCGTGTCACCCATCTCCCAGAAGTTATCCTTCATGTTGCCTGGGAGGATTTTGCTGTCATCCAGCCTGCAGAGAGCAGGAAGATAAGCCCATTTATAGCTAGTGGCAGGATTCTGCACAGACTTGCATCCACCAGAAAAGGAGATCCTTATGCATTTCTAGAAAGAAGGCTCACTCTTTGGCAATTACTAGTGCTGAGTCTGCATTCAAATCCTGATAAAGAAGCAGAACATGATTCTTTTCAAGAGTGACTACTACAGAATACAAAATGCACATTGCTGTGATCATAAATAAATAAAAACATGCAAAGATATAGATAAAGCCTAGACAGGAACACATAAAAATGAAAACGTTTTTGCTGAATATGACCAGAATTTATCTACCTGTCTGTCTGTCTGTCTATCTATCTATCTATCTATCGGCTGCCCGGCTCGTGGGATCTTAGTTCCCTGATCAGGGATGGAACCCGTGTCCCCTGCAGTGGAAGTGCGTAGTCCTAACCACTGGACCGCCAGGGAATTCCCGACCAGAATTTAAACAAATTTCTTTGCACATTTCTTTGCAAATGCTCCTTCATTTTTATAAATGAAAACAATTATATTATGACAGTATAAGTGTTGAAAAAAAGCAGCTGATCATTTAAAGTCACCTCTCTATGCCCCAATTTAGTCATCTGTCTTTTACCTTAAAATGATACCAAAAAGAATTTAAGGTTAAAACATTTCTAAAATATTGACTCTGCTGAGAGTTGCTAGATAACAGAGCACTCAAAAAAGATTATGCTTGCTTGAAAACAAAGTACAGATATACACAAGCCAAGTAAAACAGGATTCAAAAAGTCAAGATTAGTATTTTAAGTTTCACATGTGTTACTACTCAAAACATCCAAGTACATTTAGACTATAGAGTCTAACCAAAGAGGGACTTCAGACCAAGTACAAGGGGAAGTTGGATCGGAATAATATACCCTGAGTAAAAGTAATTTTAAAAAAAGATTAAAAATAAAGGAGAATTAGCAGTGCTTAAGTATATAAAAAGCTACGCACTAAACGACAAGAGAGTTTAAGTAAAAAGAACAAGAAAATGAGACAAGGACATCATGGGCATTCTTGTTATCTACAGGGGAACATCACTGCACAATCAGATTCCTCTTGATACAGAGCTTCATAAATTCTATTATGTTCTAAGCCCAGAACACATATCGCTCATCTATCATGTTACCTTTTATGCTATGTGATTTTATATTAGAATCATATTACATTAAAAAAAAACAACCCACAGGGCTTCCCTGGTGGTGCAGTGGTTGAGAGTCTGCCTGCCGATGCAGGGGACACGGGTTCGTGCCCCGGTCCGGGAAGATCCCACATGCCGCGGAGTGGCTGGGCCCCTGAGCCATGGCTGCTGAGCCTGCGCGTCCGGAGCCTGTGCTCCGCAACTGGAGAGGCCACAACAGTGGGAGGTCTGCGTACTGCAAAAAAAAAAAACAAAACAAAAAACCCCCCCACAACTTCCTTTGTCCTAGACCTGTTTGACGCCATTACATTTCTATAAGAAATAAACTGTTTCATATCAATACACTCTGTTGAAAAAGACACACACATACATACAGGGCTACAGAAATATGAAAAAAGGCCTGAAAGACTCTATATGGGGTATCAAACTATTAACAAGGACTAATGTTAGGGATCTTCCATTTCCTATTTTTCACATTTCCATATAGTTTGAAATTTCACAACATATGCACTCTATGTACAATTTCTAAAAATATATAAAAAGCAAAAAAAAATGAGAGAGCTTCCCTGGTGGCACAGTGGTTGAGAGTCCGCCTGCCGATGCAGGGGACACGGGTTCGTGCCCCGGTTGGGGAAGATCCCACATGCCGCGGAGCGGCTGGGCCCGTGAGCCATGGCTGCTGAGCCTGCGCATCCAGAGCCTGTGCTCCGCAACGGGAGAGGCCACAAAAGTGAGAGACCCGCGTACCGCAAAACAAACAAACAAACAAAAAACGAGATTCTTTATGTTGGCTTTCAAGGACAGAATGATCAAGTAAACCTGCTAAGAAGCAAAGGACGCACCAAAGGATAATTACTCCCAGTCACCTCCACCTCCACATACACACCCCGAAATGGGAAATGGCAATGCACCCCAAGTCCTAAGATCCCACTCTGGCACTGAGTGTAGAAACCATTTTATTCCTCCATACTCATACTCTCCACATGCGAGCTACATTCTTACCCCAAGCTGTGCCAGATCTGTTTGCACTCCAGGTCTGGTTCTAAGCCGGCTGCTTCATCCCCCCCAAAGTAAGTAACGTAGAGTCTTTCAACTGGAATGCCAAACTCTTGGGTGAGAAGTTCTAGAGCCATCTTACATGCCAATTCCTACAAAACGATCAAAAAGATGTGGAATATGACCAAACCAGAATCTATTTAATAAGAGTAAGAGAGGTCCAATACAGTATCTTCACCATAAACAGTCAAATTCATACAAGAAATCCACATGTAAACTGAAATCATAAAATTACAGGTACTGCTTCCAAGAAGTCTTAGAATTGATAAATGTCCTTCACTTCTGAATCTCCTACATGATATTTTGTATCATGAAACCATCAAAGTTAGAACCCATTTCCCTCAGTAGAAATGACTGTTTTGCTCAAAATCCCTTTGATCTTTGCTCAGAGATCTCCTCTTTGAACTTACCTTGAAGTAATCGCCAAAAGACCAGGAGCCCAACATCTCAAAGAAGGTGTGATGATAGACATCCTTGCCCACATCGTCCAGGTCATTGTGTTTGCCCCCAGCCCGGATGCATTTCTGGGTATTGGCAGCTCTGCTCAGCTTTGCCATAGGGTGAGATGGGTCAACAGTATTCAGAAAGATGGGTTTGAACTAAAAAAGAAAGGGAACATTTCAACTTTTAAAGAGCTGCAGATATATCAGGTGGTTACAGGCTGGCAGAAAGAGAACACACATAGACTATACATAGACTATTCATTTCCGGATTTGATTACCCCGCAATACAGAAACTTATCAGAGGCAGGTGGCCCTGTGGGCTGCAGCAGAGGCAGGCTGTCTTGGAGCAACTCCTCCCTGGTCCTAGTTCTCCAACCGTCTCCACCACTGCCAGTAACACCAACTGCACAAAAGAAAGCCCTGCCAGATCTGGGATAACAGTCAAGGTTGATGCAGTGAAACCTGTATTTCCTCTCAAGTCTCTGCAGTCAGGGCTTATACCATCTTTCTGGAAGAACATATTCTAAAACCAATGTGCTGGCTTGGTAGTAAAGGTGATAGGGAGTAAAATTAGCACCACTTGATCACACTAAGTCACACTAGCTCCATAATCACACATGGCTGGTGTGTGATTAGATATAGAATTACCATCATTGCAGAAAGTACATTGTACAGTCTTGCGCTAGACCGTAAACTCCTTAAAAGCAGAAACTATCTTACTTAGCTATTATCCAGCACCTAGAAGAGTACCTGAAAAGAACAGATGCTCAATAAATACTAATTCAAAATGTAAAAACAAACAAAGCAAAACAAAAAAAAAACACAAGGTATTTCTGATTAAGAAGCATAGAGCACATAAGCAAATGACTGCCTGGGTTCAAATCCATGCTCCAGCATTTACCAGCTTTGTGAGCTTGGGCAGTTTACTTGAGCCTTCAGTGCCTCAGTAGGATGGCACAGAGTGAGGATTAAATGAGTTAATATACAAAAGACACAGAGCAATGCCTGGCGTATAGGAGGTGCTACAGGCAGGCTACTAGTTACTGTTATTCAGAGAATGTTTATAAATCTTGGACTCCATGGTCCTTCTGCCAAGTACGTTCAGTTCATGTGGGAGAAGACAAAGCCTAGGTATGCCTGAGTAGAATAAAACTGTTCCAGTGTTCCAGAAAACTTGCAACCTTGAAAGAGTCCACCTAAAATTAGTGCCCTCAATTCCAGATGTATGCATGGGACTCACACAACTGAAAACACTTTTATAATTTCATGGTTCATGTAATACAGGTGGAAAATGTTCCCAGTGCCTCTAGTTTTCCATGCCAGAAAAGAGACCTGAGAGAACAGAAAATGTCAACTTATCCCACAGTGAGGGGCATCTTAAGGGCTGGTGGGTCCACCGGGCTAAGCAGTCACCCAGAGAACCTCCAAAGGAAAGTCCTGAGGGCCCCATCTAACCTGAATCCACTTCCAGCCAATTAAATAGTTTTCAATGTCACAGGTATACTGAAAAACTCCTTTTAAACACCTTTATAAACTTGTGATGCTCTCATTACTTCATGAGAAAATGCTTATCTCCAAAAATAAAACTTTTAAATCTTTTATAGTTCAATTGCCCCAAACACAAATCCTACTAATAAAGTTTCATCAGCAGTAGATCTGAATTGGCATTCGTGGCAGTAGCTTCAAGAAAGAAGTTTAAAAAAAGAAAAAAAATCAATAAGACTGTGCATGGGACTTCCCTGGTGGCGCAGTGGTTGAGAATCCGCCTGCCAATGCAGGGGACACAGGTTCGAGCCCTGGTGCGGGAAGATCCCACGTGCTGCGGAGCAACTAAGCCCATGCACCACAACTACTGAGCCTGTGCTCTAGAGCCCGTGAGCCACAACTATTGAAGCCCACGTGCCACAACTACTGAAGTCGCACGCCTAGAGCCCGTGCTCCGCAACAAGAGAAGCCACCGCAATGAGAAGCCCGTGCTCGCCACAACTAGAGAAAGCCTGTGCGCAGCAACGAAGACCCAACGCAGCCAAAAATAAATAAATAAATACATTAATTAATTAATTAAAGAAAAAAATAAGACTGTGCATGGCCTAGAATGGGAATGAAAGCAAAGCCTTAAAAGAATCCTGAAGAACTGACATTTTATAAAGAAAAAAACAAGGACAATGAAAAGATGAAGGACAACCACAACAGCTGAGTTAACAAGTCTCTTCATGGCTCAGCAAGATTAACCCAGCCTCTGATTTTAATAAAGCACAGCTATTTCCTTAGGAGAAAAAAAAAAAAGGCAAAACTTTACAGACTAGATGTAGGCTGTATTTTTCTTGAGAGGCATACAAGTTTAATCCATGAGTATCGGGGTCTCTCATCATAATTAAAAATAATGATAGTTAATATTCTAGTACCTACTTCAAATACTGTGCTAAACATTTTAAATGCATTATTTTATTTACTCCTCACTACAACCTAAAGGCAGGCACTATCATTATTCCTCATTTCACAGACAAAGAAACAGAGGTTCAACGACATCAAGTAGACTCTGCAAGATCACACAGGAAGGACAGAACTGGGATTCTGACTGACTCCAGGGCTGCTTTGCTGCCTCTGTGGACAAAAAAGCCAAGGGGAAGGGAAAACACCCTTACCTGGTTCATGCCTGCGTTGGCAAAGAGCAAAGTGGGATCATCCAAAGGGATGGTGGCAGATGAGTGAACATAGGTGTGTTCATTTCTCTTGAAGAAATCTATAAAACGCTGCCGGATTTCACTTGCTGTTAGGGTTGAGTCCATCTCGAAAATAACCCTACGGAACTAACCAAAGGAAAAATGAAAGAAAATTAGGGGAACTGTAACTAAGATAAGTAAACATTACACAAGACTCCTAGCTTCTCAGGCCATGTGAAAGCAGGACACGGGTAAGCTGTTTGATCCTAAAACCTCTATGTTGTAATGTCCAAGGCTAAAGTCATCATCGAAGCAAAACTTGCTGCAGTAGCAGACAGCAACCCCACATGCTCTTCCTTCCCGGGCCAACCTCAATCTGTTCAATACACCAACACATTAAGCGGAGAAGGTGGTTTCTTCATGCATTCATTCACTGCAAAAATGTATGGAGTGTCCGCTGTTCCAAGCCCTAGGTCAGGAATTAAGAAATGGGAATAGGGCTTCCCTGGTGGCACAGTGGTTGAGAGTCCGCCTGCCAATGCAGGGGACACGGGTTCGAGCCCTGGTCCGGGAGGATCCCACATGCCACGGAGCAGCCGAGCCCTTGTGCTACAACTACTGAAGTCCGCGCGCCTAGAGCCCGAGCTCTGCAACAAGAGAAGCCACCGCAGTAAGAAGCCAGCACACCGCAACGAAGACACAACACAGCCAAAAATAAATAAATAAATTAAAATTAAAAAAAAAAAGAAATGGGAATAAAACCTCACAGCTCAGTCTAGCAGAGGAGCCCCCTGGAGACGAGGGAGGCTCAGGAGACCCAGGTTCCAGTCCTAGCTCCAAGTCCTTAAGGGAATTACTTCACCAACAAAAGGGGGCCATAATAGATGAACTCTAAGGGCTTCTGTCTTAACTTCCAGCTCTGCCTTAACCCACATGCCTAGAACAGTGCAAAGTTCCACTATCCCCAAAGCCAGGGCCTCTAGGTTTGGCGTAACCATCTAGGGGAGGCAACAGTGGACCTGGGCATGGGCCCATCTGTACAAGGAACTGCCCTGCAAGTAGCAGAAATCTCCCTGCCTCCACTTAGCTCCTCCAGAACCCAACTGCTAAACTGCTGCCTTCCCAGCTATTTGACTGCTAGGGAGTGAGGATGTTGTAGCCACACTGAGGAAGCAGAGCTCAAGAGCCAGTGAAAGAGAGAGAGAATCAGAAGAGAGGGAAATTAGGAATAAAACAGCTTTACAGTTTCAAAGCTCTTTCACATATATTACACGGCTTCTCTGACAGGCAGGTTAGAGAGAAGTGACAGGCCTTGGTAGAGGGTACCAATCACTGGCATGGAGTTGTAGTGCCATGTAGCACTGGGTGTCTAGAAAAATAGGAACCATCTCATTCACAACATTATCTAAAAGTCTCTAGAATTCTAGACCTAGCTCTAACCTTTAAAAAGTCACTTTGAGGACTTCCCTGGTGGTGCAGTGGTTAAGAATCCGCCTGCCAATGCAGGGGACACGGGTTCGAGCCCTGGTCCGGGAGGATGCCACGTGCTGCCGAGCAACTAAGCCCATGCGCCACAACTGCTGAGCCTGCGCTCTAGAGCCCGCGAGCCACAACTACTGAAGCCTGTGCGCCTAAAGCCCATGCTCCGCAGCAGGAGGGCCCACCGCGATGAGAGGTCCGCACACCGCAACGGAGAGTAGCGCCCGCTCGCCTCAACTAGAGAGAGCTGGCATGCGGCAATGAAGACCCAACGCAGACAAAAATAAAAATAAACAAACAAATAAATAAATAAATAGATTTTAAAAAAACAGTCACTTTGGGACTTCCCTGGTGGTCCAGTGGTTAAGACTCCGCACTTCCAATGCATGGGTCGTGGGTTCGATCCCTGGCTGGGGAACTGAGATCCCACATGCCTCACAGCATGGCCAAAAAATTTTTTAAACAATTAAATAAAAAGGCACTTTGTCCTAAATTTGTTTCCTTTTTTGTAAAAAAGTAAGATCTACTCTGCCTACGCCACCTGGGGTGTAAGGCCAAAAGCCATCCTGTATTTGGAAGCAAACTGTAACCTGGAACAAATTGGATACTATTACTTTACATCACTTAGCTCAAAGTTTTCTTCCTTCCTAGGAGGAAGATACAAAGAAAGATGTACACAGTGAACATGATGAGACTGTGACTCTTAGACTCTTAGATTTATGTTTAATCACAATTTCAATTGATTTATTCACAACTTAATCAACTCATTACTCAAAAAGCCCTTTGGGCAAACAGATGGTGAAGTACTGGCAGACAGAGCCAAGGAGCTGACTAAAATCCCCACAGCTGAGGACTTTCTGTTCACGCTAAGGAGTCAAGGCTACGGTTTCTACAAAGTTTGTTACACCACTTTCTTCCTCGACCCTTCTCATCATGGCTCTCAATGAATATTAATCATGGTGGCAACAATGAACGTACGGTGCTAATTCTGACTGAGCAGCAACATCATAGCTGTTTCAGAATGTTCATTGCTCCTCCTCTAAATGTGTTACCTGAGGAAAATAAGCAGTTCCATTCCAAAAGACACATGAATTTTCCATCTTTGTTTATTCATTCAACGTATCGAATACATACTGTATGCTGGGAACCAAGATGAAAGAGAGTCCATGCCCTTAATAGGGAGATAGTCACAGAAATAACTGCAGTATGATGTAAAAGGATCCAATATATTGCTGTTAGGCCCTATGGACGCTGGGACTATTAAAGGCTGTGTCACCATCACCAGTCATTCATTTATTCAATATAAATACACAGGAAGGCTATATTGGATACAGAGGTAGCACAAAGAAGGTCAGATTCCATTTCCCAGCAGGAACTGTAAAGGTCTTAAGTACCTTAAATCTCACTGGCCTTCGGGTTTAAGGCTCCAGCCACTGGACCTTTCAACATGCTCTTCACTTGCCAGGTAAGCTGATGAACTATTCTCCCTTTTTGCCTTTTCCCAGTTAATTTCTCATTGTTGGCATCTCAACTTCAAAGAGACTTATTTAAGGAAGGCTTCTCCTTCTTAATCAGATTCTCCCTATTTTAGTCTCATAGCCCCAGGTGTCTCCCGTCATAATTTGCACATGCATTTGACAGCTGGAGGTCTATCTCCCCAACAGGCTGTAAGTTCCAGCCCAGTGGGAATCATGACTGGTGGTTTTTGCTCACCATTACGGGTATGTCCTCAGCATCCAGCACAGTGGTTGCTAAGTATTTCATGGTATAATTAATAACCCTTTAGTAGCGAACTGCGAATGAACTTAAAGCACACTGGAAACGCAGACCCTGAAAAAGTAATAGCTAAACGTGATGGAGCACGGAAATTGCTTCTAGGTAGGCCTGGACTAGTATCAGTTATTAGCTAATTTTAAGAATTTAGGAAACTGCTCACTGCCTGATTCCACCCGTCTTGACCACTCTACCCGCCCGCAACCCCGCCCGCCCCTAGGAGATTAAAACCAGAGGAGATAAAACCTCAGCTTTGGGCGGATGGTCAGCGACAACAGTGATCCTTCCAAGGTCTCGGTCCTCAGCAAGGCCACCCGAGGCCACTCCACCCCCAGCGCTCCAAGGGTCTGACAAAAGGCCACTCTCCAGCTGCCGTGTCACCAAGCGGCTGCCTCAACCCCGGCTCCAGCCCACGCCCCGTTCCAGAGGACTCACAGGGCCTGGCCCAGGGGCCAAACGCCAAGCACAGCCGCTATCGCGGCGCCATAGAACTCTCTCAGAAGTCAATCTGCTTCTCCCGAGGGTCGCAGTTCCTAACTCCTCCCTCAAAGCCCGGAGCCACGGTTACCTGTTCCCGCAGACACGCAGAGGTACCAGCGCCAAACCACTGCCCTTGGCAGCACGCACCGCCCCGTCCAACCAGAGCGCGCGGATGGAAAGTGCCCCGCCGCGCCTTACCTTTCCGAGAAATTATTGGTCATTCGACATGCCAGTCAACTGGAGCACGAATCAGCTTATTAGTTGGTTTCTGGGAAGGCGGCTTTAAATCGGCTGATGCAATGGCAGGGAAAGAAGGGACTGGGGCACGTGACGTGACAAGTAAGGATGTGGACTTCTGGGGACAGACATTTTAGTATCCATACTCTAAATCCTAGTCGTTGATATGATTAATAAGGGGGAAATGGTGACGTGTGTTTGGTAGAGGTCACAGCTCTTAGTATCTAGTTACGTTCGTTTTAGTTGCAGAATGGTATGCAGACCTCAGATTCTGATACGTTGTGCTCGTGGATACACTTGTCCTTTAGACCTTGTTGGATTTGGTGTGGAAAAAATAACATACTCTATGAGAGACAATTAAATTGGCATTTGGTCCTCGATTTGCCTTTGAAAAGTAATAGTTAATGTTTATATGTGAGGCATTATTAAACATTTCCTACATTATTTCGTTTAGTTTTTAAACTGTGTATGAGGCAGGCCAACTGGCATACCTTTTACAGATGAGGTAACTGCCTTGCCTAAGTACACACTGAAAAGTAAGTTAAAGAGCCAAGATTTAAACCCATTTCTGTTCAACTCCAAAGCCCATGACCTAAACCTCTCCGCTATTAACCTACATCATCTTGTATATCTAAATACAAGGGTATAAAATTGTGCTGCTGGTCATAACTGGGTTAAAGATATTGTTACAGAACACAAGTTCATATGCCCGACGTACAGTGAGGCCAAACAACCCAAAAAGTGGGAATTTGGAGCAGGGAAAGGTTTATTGCAGGGATAAGCAAGGAGAATGGGTGGCTGGTACTCAAAAACCCCAAACTTCCTGATGATTTGGGTGTGGGGGGGTTGGTTATGGTAAAATTTAGGGTGAGAGCTGCAGGGTGTGTGACTTTCTTCTGACTGGTTGGTGGTGAGGTAACAGGGTGGTGCTCCAGGAATCTTGCCCTCAGCCTGAAGTTACCATCCTCCACCTGAGTGGGGGGCCTTCGTTCCTGCAGAAGAACTTAAAGATATTATATGTATATTCCTTGAGGAGGAACCAGGACCCTACCCCAAGGCTGCACTATTGTTTCTTGACTGCTCTTCCCTTGTTTCTGCATTACTTCTCTTCCCTGATTAGCAACTGTCTGAATCTGCCCTTTGGAACTCTGGGAAGGTCAAGGAGGCTGAATAAAACCTATTTCCTAGAAAGGCTTTTGTGCCCAGGACGGCCCCACAGGGTCCTGCTTGGTTTCAATACTTCAGAAAAATTTTACTCTTTTTATGTAAAAGAGCATGCTACAAAAATACAAGGTCAAGTTCAAAAGCTAGCAAGAAGTCACTTAATTTCCCAGTTCACAGCAAAGCATTAATAATCATCATCACACCTAATGTTTGTTGAGCACTTAGTATGCAGCAGACACTGATCTTCACAACAACCTTACGAGTTACTTTTATTACCTGTTATTAACGGCTGAGGAAACTTAGGCACCCAGAGGTTAAGACAGCTAAGGTCAAAACCAAGAGAGACAACTGTTCTGATCCAAAATGGCCCAAAATAGATCTTCCCTGGTGGCGCAGTGGTTAAGAATCCGCCTGCCAACGCAGGGGACATGGGTTCGAGTCCTGGTCTGGGAAGATCCCACATGCCGCGGAGCAACTAAGCCCATGCGCCACAACTACTGAGCCTGTGCTCTAGAGCCCGTGAGCCACAACTACTGACCCTGCGTGCCACAACTACTGAAGCTCACGTGCCTAGAGCCCGTGCTCCGCAACAAGAGAAGCCACCTCAATGAGAAGCCTATGCATTGCAATGAAGAGTAGCCCTCGATCTCTGCAACTAGAGAAAGCCGCGCAGCAACAAAGACCCAATGCAGCCAAAAATAAATTAAAAGAAAAAAAGATATTTAACAAAATGGCCTCAAATAGCATATTTAGTCACAACAACCTGAGAAATGGGTCAGACTTTTGTACCCGCACATTTAAAATGGAGAGCCAAAATTGTACAAACTGTACTTTCAAAATAAAGTAATATTGGTTGTAGCCTTAATAACTTAGCTATGTTGCCATAGTTGTTGCTGTTAATTTAGCACTTTCACTAACAAAAGAATTGAAGATAGATTAAAAAAATGCTTTTTATTCCCCAGTGATTGGTTCAGTACACATGAAGAGAAATTGTTGAAGCCCAAAAGTCACATTCTTCTAAAAATGAATTTTCTACATGAATTATTCAGATAATTACCCAGTTCTCTATGATACTGTTACCGAGTCCATGCTCGCTCTGTTTGCCACACAACAAGCCAGTAAATCAGAAACAAGGTGTTGAGGCAAGGAATACAAGTTTATCCAGGAAGCCAGAAGACCCAGAAGATGGCAGACTAAAGTCTCAAAATAACCACTTATTGGGGTGTGGATGCCAGTTTCTTTTATAGTAGAGAGGGGGAAGAGATGAGGAAGTAAAGTAAAAAGACCGTAAATTTTGCAAATATCCCCTGTAATGGCCAGCCTCAGGGAGGGAATGTGTTAATTTCTTATTTCTTGCAGCCATCCACAGGTGGACAGGGTCGGGATATTTCCCTGAACAAAGGCCTTTGGTTTAACATTCAGGGGCAGTGTTCCCTGAGGCAGGCCACTATTTATAGACGGTATCCTTTTAGTGAACAAAGCAGCGGAAAGCAAAGGTTAAAGTAAAAGAAACAGATCCAACATGTAGTCAGATTTGGCTCTTCCCTGTTACAATATTTTTCCCTGGCAGATAGTGTCAACTATATAATAGAAGGAAAACTATCTTAATGCCACATGCAAATTGTCTATTTTAGGAAACTACTAACTTATTCTGGGCTAATTGCTTAGGACTGTAGGTAACAGTGAGTGCTATACACATGGTTTGCTCTGCAGTAGAATACCTGTTGAACCTTACCTGGGGGCATGAGGAAGATAGCAGGGGCTCAAGATAGTACAGCTAAAATGCTTAGTTTTGGAAGGATGTAGTCTAATTCTTCCATGGCACCCAAGCTACTTTTATCATCTATAAAATGAACTTTGAATGTTCATTTATTTGCTATTAGGTCAAATGGGGGTGACTGAAGAGTTTTCAGACCATGAAGCACTATAGGAGTCACCTAGTGATTTCAGATGCATGCAGCAGTAAGCAGTAGCTTGCAGCAATTAACAGCGAGTGGTAGCTGGAAGCAAGATCTTAGTTCCCAGACCGGGAGTCCTAACCACTAGACCACAGGGGCCAGCGGCTAGGGCTTGGGTCCCTAGTTCTTGTCTGCCTTGTCAAGAATGAATTCAGGCGAGGAGGCAGAAGGTAAAGAGAAAAGGAAAAAGTTTATTGGAAAAGCAAAGTACATGCAGAAAGACACATGGGCGAACTCGGAGAAAGAGTCACGCCTTTGGGAAATTGTTAAATTCTTTATAAAGGGGCAGTTTTCCGGGTCTTTGTCTTCCTTCTGGCCAATCATCTTGTTTTGTTCTCCCCTGGCTAATTTGTTTCAGGACCCTCCCCTTAGGTGCGGAAGCACCTCTCAGTCAAGATGGATCCCGACGTGAAGCTGTCTGGGAGAAGCAAGAGTCACCATGGCCTGGAGTTGTCCCCTGACTTTTGACCCCCAAGGAGCCTTTCTGC